TGAAGCTGCACTGAAACTGCATTTTGGAAGTTCAAACTCGAGGGCACCATAGAAGTCCATTATATGGAGATAATTGCTGAAATGTTTCTCAAACATAATTTCTTTACGACTGAAGAAAGAAAGACATGAACATCTTGGATGACAAGGGGGTGAGTACATTATCTGTACATTTTTGTTCTGGAAGTGAACTACTCCTTTAAACCAGTGGTGCAGGTTTAAACGAGTCTTAAATGGAAGGAACTGACGTTGAACCACCTTTTTACTCTTGTCTTCTTTTCCCTTCTTGTCTTTTTTCGTGTCCTTGTCTTTTTCACTTTTCTTCTTCTTGTCATCATCGCTGTCTGAGGAGGAGGATGAGGAGCTGCTATCATATGATGAAGAGGAGCTGGACTCCCGAGGATGGAGGTCAAGAGGTCAAATACATTCAGGGTTCATGTATTTCTCATGTACTCAGCATGAATATTTAATAAAGAGAGATTTTACTTTTAGACTTGACCTTTTTCTTTTGCTTCTTATCGCTGTCAGAAGAAGATGAGGAGCTACTTGATGAAGATGAAGAATCCTTTAAGAAACGAGAGCAGAGCACTTATTCAGTCAGTGTTTTTCACATGCATCTGTAAATCTAAATAAACCCATATGGACATATATGACATCTACTGTATAAGGTGATATATAATTTTTACATTCATACGTTCTCTGGGTAGAAGATATAAAGTTTATAACATGCATAAAACCCTCACAGTAAAATTTGCATATGTTAATATATATATTTCCACTTTCTAATAGGTTTCATATACATTTCTACCTCACATGACATTACACTTCATATATGGAAATGTAATATATTACATTTAAGTATGGAAATCAATCTGACCTTTACTTTCTTCTTCTTGTCATCATCACTGTCAGATGATGATGAACAGCTACTCGATGATGAAGATGAATCCTTAAGAAACAAGAAAAGGCTTGTACTTCAGAGTACTGCTAAGAAATTGTAGGAAATAGGTTCAAGGTCAGATAGCTAATCACTTTCTTGTCATTGTCGCTGTCTGAGGAGGATGAGGAGCTGCTGTCGGATGATGAAGAGGAGCTGGGGTCCTGTTGGGAATAATAGCAGAAATATTTTTTAATGGTTTTAATTTTAAGTAATTACAATAACCGCTCTTGTATTTCTCACATTTAACAATGCCTTTTCACCATCTAGTTAATTCACACTGGATAAAATCCCACCCTACATTTTATTTCAATGTGGAATTTTCTGTTCCACTCACAAATACACCAGTTACAGACATACAATGGGTTACAACAGCATTTTACGTTGACTTCACAAAAATAATAAATGAATACCTAAAATCACAAAAGTAATATAGTTGATCAGTTGAACTGCACGATGTTTTCAGATTAGAGTACAGTAGAATTTGATTGGTTTTAAATCAGCTTCGGTCTGCTTTTACTGTCTGAATTGTTCGTTTTACAAATGTAAATTATGAACCAGCCCACCAATAACATATGCAGCTGTTTATGATGAAGCTTAAATCTAACTTTTTCTTTTCCTTGGTTTTCTTCTTGTCATCCTCACTGTCTGAAGAACTGTCCGATGAAGAGGACGAACTGCATTCCTTCTGAGAGACAGAGACGTCAGACCAAATGAGTTTAGGGCATAAAAAAAAAAAATCATGTTTCGTAAAGTTCTGATTAATAAAGCTAATATTTTATTAGTGAGAGATGGAGATCTGTCACCTGCACACAGAGTAAACTAGCGCGGTTCACAGTGAGTGTGTGACTGGGAAAGCGTGTTTTTACACACATAATTGGATGATTAATGTGTTTCTGGGTTAATGACACAAACCTTCTTTTTGTCTTTCTTGCTCCCTCGTCCTCATCAGGTCGTCCCTGACAGCAGTCAAACCCACAGACTCCGCAGGAAGTGCTGCACAGGACAGGAAGTCGCTTACATGAGTCATGTGACCACCATTAGACATCAGTTCAGCCTGTTCTGAGTAAAGCAGGCTCCTCACACGCAGTGCTATTTTAAAAATATGAATTCCTTTTTATTTATATACATATAATAATATATATATTTAAAATTAAAATCAATGTAATTTCATTCTAAGATTTCAACATCTAAATTGACAATAATATAAATGCCATGTTGAGTAGATATATTATTAATATTACTAGTTAGTTATTTTATTTTTTACTAATTTATTAATTAAATTTTATTACAGTAATGTTAGTTTGCTCAAATAGTCGCTAAGTTAAATGGAAAAACCGACAAAATGTTTATTTTGTTCACTTATTCGAAATCAGTGTTATTTTTAGAATCATTTATATATTAATAGTTTTTATTAATATTTTGAATTAGCTGTTATTTTTATATTTTCCGTTTTCTTTTAAATTTTAGTTAAAGTTTTAGTAATTCTCTTGTGTTGTGTTTTTTTAAGTCTAGTTTTTATGAATTTTTATTTCAGTTTAAGTTTTAGTTATTTTAGTACATCAAGTTAAACTACAGTAAATGAAAATTAAGTATTTTTTCACTTAACGTTTATTTAATTTCAAGTAATGAAAATAATTTTTTTTTTTTACATTTTGAATTAAGGTTTATTTTATATTTTCCATTTTAATTTTAAGTTTTAGTAATTCTGTTTTTGTTTAAGAAAAAAAGTCTAATTAGTTTTTTTATTTCAATTATCTTAGTATGTCAAGTCTAACTTAATGCAAATGAGAAATGTCACTTTGACAGCTAGCTGAAATAAAATAAGTTTAAGTTTTTTGAGAATTGCGAGATATATAAACAACCTGAGACGAAAAGTCATAATTACCTTTTTTAACATTTTTATTCCATGGCAGAAAAATAAAGTTTAAAAAATTAATTAATTTAAAAGATAGATAGATCAATAGAGTGAATCATAATTATCTTTTTTTTTTAAATGTTTTTTTTTTTCTGTGGGAATAAAAACAGATTTCCAATCACACCCATGCACTGTTGTACCTTCTTTGTTTTGCTTCTTTTTCTTCTTGTGATCATCCTCACTGTCTGAGGAGGAAGATGAGCTGGAATCCTACGAAATACAGAAGATGCAGAGATTTCAGATTCCAGACAGATACTGTGAAATTAAAACACTTTTATACCTCTGCACTTAATACCTTCTTTTTCTTATCCTTCTTGTTATATCCTATGAGTGTCTAGGGGTTGTTTTCCAGAACATAACAATATTAAATGGTTGAAGAGCATTTGTCTGGGCCCGGCCACAGCACCACAACAACAACAAGATCTTAACAAATTTATTACAGGCTAGCAAAGTATAGCCGGGTTTCTTTTGAACAGGAAGTATACAGTAGGAGGGGAACAGAGGCTTCAGGAGGGGACAAGGCCAAAACAACAAACAAAAGTTCAGTCTAACTAGGGAGTTAAGTCCTTACTAAGTCTCTCAAAGAAAAAGAAAATCAACAACAGAATGTATGCTCACTCCCTGTCTAGCCACAAAACAGGAGAAAACGGGGGTTTATGAAAATGAAATGGCGCCCGCCTCCCTACAATTCCCAATCATAACTTGCAACAAAAACAAACAATCAGATGAATAACAGTTTTAGAAAAAAACTAATAAGAGTTTACAGCACTCGGTCACAACAGAGCAACAGGACCCTTAGCTTAGGTTTAGCAGGACTAAGGAATTCACTAGAGGACAGGCAACTAGAGCAACAGCATTTTAAACCAACAAGTAAAAATGTTAACAACCATGCAGAGTCCCAACAGATGCATCACAGTTTCAACAAACTGGACCGGGCAGGACACAGATCATGCTCTGGAGAAGGATTCTCCCTGGTTGAGAGTTGTGCTCTGCTTTTATGCTGCTTCCCTCCTGGTTGGTAAGCAGGTGCAGCTGGGGGAGCAATCAGGCCACCTGCCAGAGTGGAGAGTGGGAGGAGCCAGAGGAGAGCAGGAGACATGCACATAACAACAGAACGAAACACACAGTATCTTAAAGTCATGACAGAAATATACGTCTTTGGGACATAACATTCTTCTGCTTCTTTTTATTTTTCTTCTTCTTCTTCTTTTCATTCTCACTGTCTGAAGTGATTGCAGCTGCATCCTGGGAAAAATTAAGCAAAATTCATCAATATATGAAATAAATAGCGAGCAAACAAAAAAATGTGAGACATTATCCTGAAAATTAAAAAAGTAAGGTCATTTAAATAATACAACAGAGACAGTCTTAAACAGGAGAAATTACTTTGTCTTGCTTCTTTTTCTCCTCCTCGTCTCCTTTAGTTTCTCCTGCAGGAGTTAATTCAGTGTTTCCCTCCAGACCTGAAAAACATCACAGACTTCAGAAGACCAGTGGGAAAAAGACAAGATGATCAGCAGAACGAGCTGTTCTTCCACTCAACAAAAGAATACAATGACTAGTGACTAAAATAAAATCCCTAAAAATCCCCATATATCTAAAAAAAAAAAAAAACCAAATAAAAGATGTAAAAATACATCTCTATCCCAATAAAATATTAAAATAAATAAAAATAAAGAATAGCAATAAAAATTATACATTTTGATTTAATTGTAAAAATGTCAAATTAAAATAAATAATTTTCAAATTAAACACTCACATAAAAAATAAATGAATAAAATCACAAAATCGATGATTTTGACCCATACAATGTATTGTTAGCTATTGCTACAAATATACCCCAGCGACTCATGACTGGTTTTGTGGTCCAGGGTCACACACACACACATACAAATATATATATATATATATGACTGAATGCCTTACTTTTATTTCACTTTATATAATATAAAATAATTTTATATATGCACTGTGCAGTAAGCATAGCCAAACTCTGCATGGAAAGAGCTAATTTCCTCATGCATCACATATTTCAGGCTTTTAGTTGTCTGTCCAAATTAAGTGAATGTTTGTTTATCTGAGGCGTAAAACTCACAGGTGTTTCATAGAGTAAAATTACCACCGGAGTCACACACACACACACACACACACACACTGAGAATCCCCGGCTCTGCAGTCTCGCTGATTTTCATTTTCTTCTTTTCATCCTGTTGAGGAGAATGCGTGAGTGAGTAAATCTGGGAGCGTGACCCAGATAAGTCAAGAAGAAGATGTAAATGTTGTTGTTTTGTGATAAACACACATATTTCATAATTAGGACAGCAGCCATGAGACACACTCTACAAATCCTGTTTTACACAAGTGAGCCATGACTGTTGTTCAGCATGCCGTGACTCAGACAACTTTCCTTCCTCTGCAGGAAAACAGCGGTAAATAAACACTGCCTTTATTTAAAGTTCAGCTGAAAGTCAAAACTCTGTCTTCATTTACACACGCTGCTACAAACCCGCATGACTTTCTTTCTTTGGTTGAATGCAAAAACAAGTTGTTCAGTAGAACGAGCGGTTCTTCTACTCAACATGAGTATACAATGATTAGTAGCTGTCCAGCTCAAAACAAAACACAAATAAAATAAAATAGAAGTTAATATAAAATATAAATATATAATATAAAAATATAAAACACTATCCAGTCTAGAAACTGGTTAAACACTCTGTTCCTGTTTTTGCTTTAATGTTACTTTCAAAAAACAATCAAGGTAAAGTTGAAGTTCCCCATATAACCGCAGGTGATGTAGTGTGTGTGTGTTTATGAATGTTAAAAGCTGATTTGGTGAACTCTGTCGCTCTGATTGGCAGTGTTGTAGAGCACAGGTGCATTCTAAGTTATGTTTAACATCGGAGAGTACAAATCTCTACACTAAAACACCGCAGATTGTGACACTTTCAGCTCCTCAGTACGTGTGAGAAATACAGATTGCCCAAGCACTTTAAGCCCTAGATTTCCACTTACCACAGTAAATCACAGGACAGCAAAACCATACTGTATCATGTGCACTAGCTGCCACACTGCAAAGATAATTACATATGAAACCAGTTAAATTTATTAATCTGCACACCTCACTGCTGTCACTGTCTGATGATGATGAGGAGGAAGATGAGCTGGACTTCTGTGTGAGGAAGTGACAGAGTTATTGCACAACCCGGATACAAACCTGCAAGAACTCGTTACTGATCGTTGTCATACTTTTCTGTGGGTGTGCGTGTTGGTTCTGCCCTCCAGCCCTTTCCCCTAATTGCATAAGAAGGGAATTCTTCTCTTTAAATGTTGAAAAAAAAACTTGTGAGGTCATGCATTCTGAAAACCTCAGAAAATGGTCTAATAATCATGCTTTTCTTCTCTGTTTTGTACTCAAATGCATGTATGATTCTGGGATTAATAAACTCTAGCATGCAATAAAACATTCCTTTATCTATGTCAAATATCAGTTACATTTATGCATTTAGCAAATGCTTTATTTCGAAGTGATATACAAAACAGGAACAAAAGCAAGTTGTCAATATCTACACAGTTCCTGCTCTGAAATTAATATGCAGTAAAAGGTTAATTCATGTGTTCATTAAACTCTAATTAAGCAGGTGGAATGAGCGGGATGCTGCAGGGTTCGCTACTGGACCCTGTCTTGTTTCATAATCTAAGTACCTTGCTTCTTTTCTTCTTCAGCTTTTTCTTCTTTTTCATCATCCTCACTGTCAGAGGAAGATGCAGAGCTGTCACATGACCAGGGGTCATTCTGGAGAGGAAGAATTGTGCATTAATATACTTTCACAGTGGATGTAAAGGAAAAAGGAAATTTATGTCATTGTGAACCATCTAAGTACAACGCTTTATTAAACTTTCCTACCTTTCCATCCCTCACACCTGGAACTTTTGGATCGATGTCACACACTATCACGGAACAGGCCACGCCCCCTTATTCCAGTTCATTCCTGCTCTCCGAGTCTGCAGCTGCACATATACAGTTTAAAAAATATTATATTAAAATCTACAAAAATCATCTATCTATCTATCTATCTATCTATCTATCTATAGTTGAAGTCAAAAGTTTACATACACAATTATTTGACCAAAATAAGAGGGATCAAGCAAAATGCATGTTATTGTTTATTTAGTGCTGACCTGAATAAGGTATTTCACATAAAAAATGTTTACATATAGGAGAAAAAGAGAAAATAGTTGAATTTATAAAAATGACCTTGTTTAAAAGTTTACATCCCCTTGTCTTTTCACATTGAGGACAACTGAGGGACTCATATGCAGCTATTACAGATAGTTCAAACGCTCACTGATGCTCCAGAAGGAAAAACCATTCATTAAGAGCTGGGGGTGAAAGCTTTTTGAATTTAAAGATCAGGGTAAATTTTCAAAAGCGAGGTGTGCTCTGATTGGCCAGCTATCCAGTGCGTTGTGATTGGCCGAATACCTCAAGCGTGTGACGGAAATGTTACGCCCCTTACCATACTGTGATGCCCTGTCCGGCCGGAGCGACGAGACAAAAACATTCAA